GGAAAAACTCCAGACTTCCTAAGGCAGGAGGGGATGCCCAGCTCAGCGAAGCGCAAGGATGGAAAACAGGCAGACACACACACACACACAGAGAGACATGCGCCAGCCCTGGAGCAACAGCAGGCATTTATACACAAGAAGGATGGGTGGAATGGGAGGAGGAGATTGCCAGTGCCTCTGGACAACGGGGAGGACAGAACAGAGAGACCTGGATACAGGAGAAAAACAAACTCTCACATAGGTATGGATGTTGTCTCTAAAGATTATATGCAAGAAGATACGTGAGGGTAATATAGTGATGTCTCTACAGTATATTTCAAATTACAATATTTCCTTCAGCTATTTACAGAAAGACTAAGGATAGTTTCTTTAATTGAATATTCAGATTTTTTTGAAAATGGCCACCATGTTACTACCTTCAGAATACTCCAGACAACACTGGAGTGAGCACACAGAGCTGCCGCTATGTGATACACATCACTTCCTACCTTGCATCTATCAAGATGACAAAGAAGAGAATAGACGGAAAGGGCTGGGCAGGGTGATGGCAGAATTTGGAAGATGTGACTCAATGAGGGAGGAGAATTTGGAAAGCACGATAAGAACAGGAAGGCGGCAAAGAGCAGAACAAGTGCTGTCAAGCGCAAAGACTTAAGAACAACGCAAAAATAAGCAAGGGAGTCAAACTCTCATAAACAAGTCAGAAAGAAAACCACTATTGGTCTGTATTACATAGAATAGCTCGAAGATGGAACAGTTGACTAACAAGCTGGCTCGAACCACTATGAAACCCAGCACTATCTCTGGTTTTGCCTTCCCTTAGGATCTCCTTCTTTGATCCACGGGAACAGTAACCTGCTTACTGAGGAAGAAAGGAAGTAGAGAAGGAGCCTGCACAAGTGGAAATGACAGTCCCGTGAATCACCGAGGGGTTTCGATTGCTTTATAATGAGCCAGTCATAGGAAAAAGGGAATTCTCCCGATCAGTTTCCTTTGCTTCAATGGGATTAAGCTACCAAATGAGAATACAGCTTGGGAGATTTCTAAAAATACATTATTTGTTTCTTATAAATACTACAGAGGTCCTTCCTTTTGCTAGACTCTCTAAAGGAAACAAATACGTCTTTTTCTAGAGTAACGTCACCAGTGAGCCTGTTCTAAGCTAGGGGAGGGAGAGGAGAGGAATTTTTGTAGTAACTCTGCATTAGACTCTCATCCGGCAATGCAGATCCTGTTGCGGTTTTGCTGCAAACTTTCCATATACTCAAGCTGGAGAAAAGTTTGTGCACTTGCAGATGGATGGGTTACATCCAAATTTCAGGCACTAGTGATCAGATAAAGAGAACACAGGAAAGAAACTCTATGGACTCCTTGCAATGCTTATCTGAAACAACTTTCTTCCTTCTGAACTCATCTCACTATAAAAATAACAATTACAAAAACTTTCCTTCCAGATAATTTGCTTCATGGGTAAACTGGCAGCTGACTAAGTAAAGCAAAAAACATGCCTGTTTTCAAAAGTAATCAGAAACCAGCAGGTCAATCATGGAACATTTAGCAATTATCGCTCTGGGGCCTTGACACATACCAGATGAAATAATTTTATTTGCCTCAGTCATCTGCTGAAGAAGAATTAGTGTCATTGTGATACATCATCAAAGGAATCGTCGTCTCCTGCTTTCTGTCCCATAAATGTTTTTCATAAATATTCTGAATTTATATCCTATTCCTACATTAATCAGAGACATTGGCAGGTTAAAGGCATGCTCTTCCTCCTTGCAGAGAGTAAATCAGGCTGGTTTTAGTGCTTATTTAGCTTTATATACTTATAATTGTGAAACAATTGGCCATAAATGATCCATTAAAAAATTACCCAGTTGTTTTTAAATTTCAGCCCCGGAACTGAAATACTGCTAATAACACCGAAGTTCTGAAGCTGTTCAGATCAGACAGCAAAACTATTTGACGTTATCCCTGGTAAACACTTGAACTGCACCTTCAAACTCAGAAGAGCCGGCGTAAATTCTTTTTGCATTTTTTTTAATCTCTTCATACTCCGATTTGATAGCTAAATTTCGTTAAGCTCATCTTCAGTGTACTTCGATCATAACACCCCAGCTCCTGAAACGAGGGTTTGAACTTTATAGGTGTATCTTATTCTCTAAACACTAGCCCCAAATCTGGATGACTTCCTTTGGCTTCAGCTTCGAAAGCATTTTTTTCTACTTCTTCCTCCCTCTCAATGTCAGCAGGAAGCTCAAGTTTTGATACAGCATTTCTTGGGACATTACCCGTGTCTAATCTTCCTGATAGGAAGTCTTTTGTTTTGCAGTTTTAATGAGAGTCTCCTCCACAAACAACACAGTGCACATTTTAAAATGCTCTCCTGACATTACAATATTTCACGTATTAGACACCACAAAAGCATCACTTGTGCAAACGTTCTCTTAGGCTTGTTATTTTAAGTGTGTCACTTGCTCTATGTATTTTTAATATAGTTGTTGAGACGTGGTAGCAGACCTGCTGTTTGCTGTCAAATTTAAGGTTTGCAGTGTAACAAATACCATTCCTTAAAGCAGATGCCACCATAACCGGACTCTGACCATAGAGTGCTAACATCACGATGCTCTAATTTCTATTCCTGCTTTCATTCATCCAGTCACTCTTGGCTTTTTATACTACCATTGCAGAGAACAATATTCTGGAAATTGTTTTCAATGCCTGCCAAGCTTCCTTTTCTTAAAAGTCGTCCATTACAGGTCCTTGAGAAGGTCATATTTATGAAATCCATAATATTTCACAAGAAAAACAGATTCAATTTTTGCGCATTGAGTCTCTGAATACTAGTGCATGTGCTTGACTGCAATTTCTCAACAGCCTTCATATTTTACAACTGAAAAACGTTTAGACTATCAGCAAGATTCAGTCTGTTGTTCACATCCTCTTCCAAATCCCCAGCATACGCTGAAGTAACACCACTGAGCCTTTAAGGTCCTTGCTCTTTGTTTAGATTGGAACTTAGGAGGTTCAGTACAGTGTGAATGTACGACACAGCAGTATGTACTTGACTCAATAAGATTATGCTTTTTAAATCCAATTATTGTCCTGCCTTTAGAATCAGTTTTCCTTGAAATGAGGCTCAATTTAATTCTTAGGATGTCCCACAGACTCTTCGGAGGGAATCTAATATCTTTAAGAAGAGGGTTTCCAAGCTATCCTTCATATTTTGGGCAACATCTGTGGGTTTATTCTTTCCTTCTTTCAGAATTCTCTAATGAATACAGAAGATCAAAATTTAGAGACATATTCCAGACAAGGACAGGAACGATTCCCAGTGGTATATTTAACATTTTTGTTCTAGATTCAACAGTTTGAGGCAAAGGCATTTTCTCTGTTTCCCTAATTTCATAGTCTATCAGCTCCATTAAGATATATTTCAGATTTCTGTCTGAAGTACAATTTCCTGAATCTCATCCCAATATTTCTAGTTGTTTCCTTGCACCATGGTGAGTAATTAGTCCCCAACTCCCAGAGGCAGTTATATTGTCACTTAGTGACTGCTTTGCCTACCTTCTGCAGTTGTAGATTGAGTTATTTTTTCTTTACAAGTCTCTTCTACCCTACAATGATTTTTGCTCATGCTCATGAACATCTCCGTAGCTTTACACCTTCTAAAGACCTTCATCAAAATGTGTTCCAGGTGTTGTCTCATCAGATTAGATAAAGATCATCTCCTGATTCAAATTCTTTGAGTACAACATTTCTAAATAGTTTTGATAAATGTTTTTTTGCTATATGGTTTTGATAATGCATGGCATTTCAAATTCAGACATATACTTCTGTCTGCTGCCTCCCCTTTAATCATTCCTACTTGTCTCTTTCAGTTAACGTTTAAAAAATCACAATAAAAAATTCAAATTGGCTTTCAGTTCAAGAAAAAAATACGCAACGGAGTGTAAGTAACAGCCATCAATGCAACTTAACACACGTCATCGTGCCAGCCTAAGATTATTACCCTGTTATCAAAGGGTAAACCATTAATTAATGTAAACTGTGATAAGCCCCACTGAAGACGTCGTCCGACAAAACCAGCTGAGAATCTGTCCCCTCACTACTCCTGCCCAGTATGGGACATTTGGGTTTCCTCAGACAATCAAACGAATTTTAAACACGAAACAAAGCAGAATATGCAGTGATAGCACAGTTTGGTACTTCGAGTTTTCAGCCCTTGAATCCCTTTCCTTTTTCTCTTCCACATTCATGACAGCAAAATATTCCTCCTTTTCACATGCTTTACTGGTTTAAAAAAAAATGTGCACAAACATTTTGAGCACTGCAGAGTTAAGCAAAACAAGTGGATTCTATTTTATCTGCAGTCAGAAGTTCAAACTAAATCAAGGCAGGAGTTTCCAGGTTCAGCTGGAACTTTCTCACCATCTTCTCATCTTCCAAAGGTTGCTCAAAACTTACTGTACATTATCGAGGTGAGCATATTTTAAACAATTTTTCTCATGATTTATGTGCTATATTTTGCCTTAGCTCTGCTAGAGGGAATAGTTGATTTTTCTGGGCACTGTGCCCAGATTATGTTTAATTTTGTCTACAGATTGTACAGTTTCCCAGATACTACACCAGAGATGAGCATTTTATAAGTTAATAAAACAATAAATAAAATAAAATCAGTTATCATGTCTCCACGTAATAACTGTAACCTTAAAAGCCTTGCCCTGTTTTATAGAACCTTTTCTTTGTTACAGTCAGTGACTAAAAATAGATATAATTATTTTGAAGTTATAAAAAAATAAGGTAAATAATTCATAGGATCCCCACAGAAACACTTCAATTTTCACCTTAAATTTCTTAAACAAATAGCTAAAATAAAGTTCCACTATTGAACGAATTATTTATTAGTTATATTAAGAAGGAATCAGTTTGGATTCTACTACTATATTTCACATAATTATTCTATTTTTAGAATAAAAAGAGGGAAAAAAACTTACTGTGTATTCTGATTTCCAATTGTCCATTTGTAAAAAAAAGAATGATGAGGGAAAAGAAAAAAAAAAGAAATGTGAAATAAAACAATGATTCAAGATCCTTACAGTAAGTATACATTAATAATAAAAAAATTATGGCAGATAATCTACTGATTTATATTTGACTAAAGTCTACAGGACAATAAAATACAAGTTAACAAAGAATCTAAGCACCTGGTATTTTCTTTCCAAGGAAAAAAATGTAGAGCTAAAACACTCCAGTTTTAGCCTATCCATAGTCTATAATCTTTTTTTCCTGATATCAATGTAAAATAGAAATATATAAGCAGCTCAACAGGATTTGTTACAGAAATTTGGTATCTGTGGCTCACTATGTAACTTGGAATTTGTGAAGATTAGCTAAACTATCCAAAAAGTGTAAGTCAGTAATAATTTCTGCTTTATTTCTTACCTGTGATTGTATAAGGATAATAATTCCAAGCCTTCTCAGTAACATAAAATATTTTGGGAACAACTGCTCTAGCCCAGCTAGGCAGTTTGCTGAAAATAAAAACAAAACATAAAATTAGAATATATTATGAGCTACGAGTAGTGTAGAAAAGATGAAACTTCCAAACATGCTCAGAATTTGTCCGGTGTTTCACAGGATACAGCAACATCCAGACTTCAAACCCTACTTTCATGGCACGACTACGCGTCCCGTCCCAGCTTTCTTGGAATGAAACCAAGCCCGTTTGTTACGCTCCCAAGGTGAGCAGTAGAGTGCCCGGGCAATAAACTCTGACCAGATTTAAACCGAGGGTGCAGATTTCAAGAATTTATGGCCTCAAGCCTTTGGTCCTGGCTCAACTCCGGAGGTCAGATCCCACAAGGTGTCACTGTGCCACAGCATCCTCAGCCACAGGGAGGCACTCTCCAACAAGAGGTCATGAGTAAATGTGGGATTTCACTCCACTCCGATCCCCATCCCATTATTTCTTCTTGGAAACTATTTCTTCTTCCTCCATATTCTCTGCCAGCACACAAACCCTTACGTTCAACTTGCCTAGCACGCAGTTCTTCCCACACTACCACCACCAACTCCTGAGTAGGAAGCTTTTATATTAAAATTAACAAATCACTCAAAACCCCTCCGTGAGGCTGGTGGGTAGAGAATTAGTCCCATTTTGCTGCTAGGAAAAGTAAATCCCAAACGTGAAGAGAATTAGTGGAACTGACGGCATAGCTCACAAGAACTTATAAAGTGGTGGGACAACAGAAGTGGAGTAAGAAATGAAAGACATGGACATAGCACATGGAAAAATCATTAAAGGGTAATTAAATAATACTATAGAAGAGTGGGAGCATCTTCTCTAGCATGGACCTTGGGTCTCTCATTTCCAGAACAAACACACATTTAGAAAAGGCAAGTTGACGACAGTTCATCTTGTTTCTAAGCACGCCAATTATAATCACTGAAGCTGCCAGGACTGAAGATGCAGCAGCGGTCACTCAAAGGAAAGGAAACCTTTGGAGAGCACAAATATCACTGTACCTGGGGACGCAGCACGTTCTATGAATCTACGAATTGTGCTGTGTGTTGAGCAGATCACCCAGCCAAAGACTGAATCTTTCCTGAACTAAAGTAGATGCTTTCAAACCTGTTTTCCAAGTGTAAATGTTTGCAACAGTTATGTTTAGGAAACTGTGTGCAGAAAGGAAATTAACTTTCCACGAGGAAATTTCAGAAAAAAAATAAATACAGAGTTCAGATCATAAAGGCTTATTTAACCATGATCTAACTACACATAAATATTGTATTTGCCCAGAGGCAAAATGCAGATGATGTTAGTGTATTATCTAAAGATTCAACATTTGTACCCATCTTTGGGTAAAAGATCCTTTGTTCCTGCACTACCACAAACAACTGGCCTCCTAAGTATGTCTTGTACGCGTCTTCTAGGACACAGTCCTTTCGGTTATTCTGAATTACCCTGAAGTGGTAATTCTGAACATGCTCTTCTGTGCTTCAAGTCTTATCTCTTTTTAACATGAAGGAAAGAAATATCCAGAAACATTAAAAAAAACCCCACAGCTTCTTGGAGCTCTACAACAGGAACACATTTATTGATTTTTCCCAAGTCCTGTATCTAGCCTGTGAGAGAACAGAGTAACAATCACAATAATATAAAACATTGGCAAGATACATATTATCGGGCTCTGGCGTGTGTGTGCGTGCAACATTACTGGTGATTCAATTTAGCCTGAGTTAAGGTTAGATACGTCAGGTTGGCAGCGGAGGAGTAACTTGCACTGCAGAAGCAATAGCTATAGTGTTTCTATGCCCAATATGAAATGCTACAGAGCATGAGTTTAATAAAACAAAACAGGCCCAGGGGAATGGCAGAACTTCAGAAAAGCACTGATACTCAATGAGATCAGCAGTAGCAAAAATGGGAACAGATTGAGCAATATATTTCATAGGACACAAATATTTTTATAT